CAGTTGCAAGTTGCAACAGCGGGAGCAGCACCCACTGGCGCAAGGCCGTTAGGCACTCTTTTACTCTCTTGGCCTTATTCGGTGGACAGTATTTATGCAGATTCGCCGCGTGGGTGGCGAGCACTTTCTACTCGCAGGCTGCACTTGCCTGCATTAGCATTCAAGTCGGTTGGCTGGCTGGCCCTATTGATCCGTGGCTCCGATTGCTTTATGAGCTGTCTGCCTGGCCTAATGTTCGCATAATGTTTATGGTCGGGCACATAAAAAAAATTACAATCCTAAGGAGCATCATTGCATCCGACAGTTGACAACAGCAACGGAAGACTTCGAATCCGAGTCCCAATGCGAATGCGAGTGCGAGTGCGAATGCGATTGTGGCCAAGACGGACAACGGGCCAATCAGCAACATCTTCGTTAGCTGGTTGCCCCCTTCATGCAGTTGCTTTTACGGCTTTGTCATTAATCAAATGGAATTGAAATGCGCCGCGTGTACATCACACGCCGTTGTTGTAGCTCTCAATGTTGTTTTTGTTGTTGTTAGTGTTGTTTTTTGTTGTTGTTGCCATTGTAGCCGTTACCGCCAAGCAGCGCCCATTTGGAGTTTGCCATTTTTGCGCATTTTAATCATGCCCGTCTCGCCTGTAGTTATTTGGCGTTTTTTTTTTATACGCCTGGCTATGCCAAAGAGATCTGCGCCAGCTGATAAAGCAATGGCATTGCCGTTGCCGGTTGTAGCTGGTTGGTTGTTGCCGCTAACTGTTGCCGGTTGCCTCTGCACTCAGAAAAAGAAGTACCTGAAAAAAATACATTCAAAATGCAGATATACTACTTAACTATCATCACGAAATCAAAGTTAAATAAAGTTGGACAAACTAAGATTGCACATTTAATTTGTATCCAAGAAGATCATAAAACATCAACGAACAACTATTTGAAAAAAAAAAAACCTAAATTTAATTACGTACTTAAAATCTAAAAAATGTTTTTAGGTCAATTATGTTTTTCCAAGTGCCTTTCTGCCAACTTTGATGTTGCTAACGCCAACGCAGGCAGCGGTCGAAATGATTAATACATCTTGATGCGATTTGGTTTGTAACGCAGGCGCAATAAAAACGCGACTTTTGATTGACAATGGCAGCAAAAAGCTTGAGATGCCGGCCGTTGATTACTTCATTAGGCGGGGTTCGAAAGTTGTTGCGACCGGGAGGACCATTTGATTCAATTATGCATTTGCATGCAATTGAGGCATAAGGCAATGCAATGCATCCATCCCCAGCTGCAATATTTCTTATCAGCGGCCAGTTCGCTGAGCTATTGGTCAATTGGTCAGCAAGCGACTACCAACTGCTGCCTGGCATATCCGGCTGGTTTGCTATTTTTTTTTTTTTTTTTTTTGGTTTTTGGGGCAGGCTCTCAACTGGTGGGCGATAATTATCTGGCTGAGAAATGATCGACTGGCTTATGGCCGGCGGTCTCACTTGGCTAACGATGACAATTTGCGGTGCAGAAATTTGCAGCTGCGAGCTCCCGTGCGTTTTTTGATGCGTTTCGTGTGTGCGTTTTACGAGCGCTCTTCAAATGGCTTTCGTAATTTATGCATCGGCGAGGAATTTAGCCATTTGAATATGCGCTCAGTCATTAATATTCGGCAGAATTACGATTACCTCACTGGCCACGCAGCTTGATCCCGAAAGTATGCAGTGGAGAGCAAGAGCCATCTGCTTTCTTCCACATTACACATTAAATATGTGCCAGGCATTATTAACCCATTTCCCCGCTCGCACAATTATCACATTGTGCACGCACACACTGCGTATACGCAACGCGGAACGCCCCATCGTTTATCTCAATAAATGTGATTACGGGTCGATGAGACGACTGCCGCTTTCCACTGATGGCTCCATTTTGGCCAATCGAAGTGCAATTTGATTGCGGTACGTGAACCGACTTGGCTCAAAGTCCTCAGTTCAGCAGGTTTTCCCCGTTTCTGTCAGCCCCATTGTCTTCTTTAGTCCTCTTTTATGAAATCAGGCGAATTATTTTAATTGAGTGAACCGGCAATCGAGGGGGTGGCGGTGGTGCTGCTGGTGCAGTGGTTTAAGTACGACTGGTTTCAGTTTTTATGCGCACGCATTTGACGATTGGTAATAGAAACTTGTTAGTGAAGACATTAAAAAATCGTTTAGCACGGTATTTGGGTTAAAATGCGTGGAAAATCGTGCAGTCAAAGCGACAAACTTGCACAGAAAAAGCGGTCAAAGCAGAAGCAGCCAAAGCGTGTGATTTTCATTGATTGTCATTGGATGGAGTGACGGGGGGCTCAAGCCAACCAAGTTGGAGAAAATTGTGTAACCGCAATATAAAAATTCCTGCACATAAACTAATCTCAGACTACTGCTGCCTTTTGACTACCGTGATGCTTTTTTCTTGTCTTCAGACTTCAGTTGCAGTTTCCTCTTGACGCCCGCAACAAAGTCGAAGCTCATTCTCCGGCAAGACCAAAGAAATTGTGCCGAATATTGCCACATTTTTGCACATATTTCCCAACCATCCATTTTCCTTTGTCTGCCGCCATTTGCATACTCGAATAAATCATGCCTGCCTGCCTGGCTACCAAAATGTGTAAATAAATATGCCAGCCAGCGAGCTTAATTAAAAACATTCAAATTATTGAAACGTTTGTTATTTATGGCCCATAATTGAATACCGCCATTCGGCCACCAGACACCCACCCCGAAACATAAAAGCCATCATGCTATCATGTTTTTTAAATGATGCCGCCTCGGGCTGTTTGCATTGGCCAAAATGCGCTAACAATTTCTACGATTACGATTGCGATTACCATGCAGCATCCCCCTTCTCAGTTTTTGGGCTTCGGATTCGTATTCGAATTCGCATTCGCATGCATCTTCATCACGGCACCGCTGGGAAGATGCATGTGCCCGGCACATGCACATCCGAAAGATACAAAGATGCAAAGATATATCCATGGCGACCACGTCCATGATTGGCTGGCCGCCAGTTATATGAGCACGTCTCCACTGGCTGGCTGACTGGATAGCTGGCTGGATAGCCGGCTGGATGGCCAACTTTCTTTCCCGACTCGGTCCCGCATCCAAATCACAATAATCGTGCTCAAATTAGTCAATATTTGAGCGCCAAAATGCCCAAACAAAGCCTTATTATTTTATTTCATATTTTTTTGCCCGTTCTGCCAGCGCTTTTCCCCGCTGCTGGCCATAGAGTATATATAAAGTAATTTCAGCATTTTAAACATGATTATTAAGTAAACTACTAGGCAGATCTCGGTGTGGCTGTCAGTCGGCAGGCAAATGACCACAAATGATTACGCAGCGTTTCGGCTTTTTGGTGAAATTTCATTTCTTCTTTTTTTCTTTGCTTTTTTTTGTGGCCCGGCCTTTCTTGGCCGATGGAGCTGCGATAAAGGCGAGGGAAAACTCGGGAAACGAGCTCACCTCGAGAGCCTTAAAAATGCTAACTGACCGCTTGCCAAATGGCCTGCACTTGTTGGCAGCCTTTTGCCTCCTTTGAGTGGCTTTGGCGATCAGGTGTTGATGCTGCTGACTGGCACTGGAAAAAATATTTCTTCATTTCAATATATAAGTTTCTAAAATTTCAAACCAATATAATCATTTTAATTAGCCTAACTATTAAGGAGAATAATAGTTGTACTTCAAAAACTATTTGTTAAATTAAACTTAAGTATATCCTTTTTTGAGTGCGTGCTACTGCCTTAGCTATTTCCAGTTCCCCTGCCAGCTTGATTTCCCCTAAGATACTGCACTTAAGAGTCTCCACAGCAGCCGCATCTGAAATATTTTCCAGCGGCGGCATTTTCTCTACGCTCTGCCCTTATCTAAAGTATGCAAGCCAGCTCTACGTACCAGCGAGCCATGCAAATTTGTTAAGTCATTTTTGTTTGTGGTTCTCACGCTGCCAGGCCGAAAGGTCCATTTTTCATACACACGTAAGCCCAAGCGACTTGGAGTCGGTTTCGATGTCGGTGTCAGTGTCGGGGTAACAAAAAACCCAAAAAAAAAAAAAAAACAAAGTAGAATCAATTTGACAATTTGAACATTTGGCACATTGGCCAGAACACGACTCGGGGGTACGTTAGCGATATCCTAACTGAAATGGCCACAGACTGTCGGTTCGATCACCTTAGGGGTACAGCGATATATACCGATATGGGCTACACGGTAGCCAAGCTTATTTCATTATTTTCATTTTTTTTTTGCAACTATTCTAAATGCCGGGCACTTGCCGAATCTATGCAAATGAAACGCAAGCCGGGCCAGAAACAAAAAGTGCTGGCCAAAATGAATGATGAAAGAACTGTCGCAGCGACAGGTTGGCAGAATTTGGCATTAGCCAAAGTCCGAGAGATTTACGAGTCGAGCACGCCAAATGTGTTTACACTTTGTCACCCTTCTGTCAGTTTGATTTATTTATTTGCAGATAGCCGGCTAAGAGACTAAGAGAGCCGGGCCGAGACTGCCTCAAATTAAAATGCAAGTATGGCCGGAATGCAGGCCCGGGCCATGTGGCTAGAATGAGCCGATGCGAATGCGAATGCGAATGACTGATTGACTTAAGTGGCCAACTGACAAGTGGCTTTAATCAATTGGTGTGACTTTTAATGCAGCCATCTGCGAGTGTGTGAATGCGTTGGAGAAATTGAGAAACCGAAAGCGAAACCAGCAAAGTGAAATCGAAACTGTTGCAAGCATGCTAGCAGAATTTTTATGCACTTTTTATATAGAACAAGAACAGGTTAAATATTACGTATTTAAATTTGAATTGACTATAAATTATCAGTAGCTGAGTTCAATAATTATCCCCCTGAATTGATTGAAAATTCATAAGTAATATAAATAAATACAATTTATATAAACACTTGTCAATTATAATTTTAAAAGCAACGCCCCTATACATATATTGATTTTTATTAACTCAACAATATTTTCTTCTACTTCCAGCTCATTTATCGGACTTAACCAGTACCTGGTTCTTTAAGGCGCTACTCTGGCGCTTCAGGCTCAGCAAATGATCGGCACCGAGGATATGTCCACAGCGGCTGGCATGGACATCAGCGAGTCCTTTCGTGCCGAGGATCTCTCGAAGGCGGACTTCTTCGACTTTGTCACCGGTCCCGATATGGGAATCGGTATTGGGGTGGGAGTGGGCGTGGAGGCTCTGGGAGTGAGTCTGCACCAACAGCAGCAGCACCACCAGAACCACCAGCAACAACAGCAGCCGCACAGTCACAACAGCCACAGCAACAGCCACGTGCAAGTGGTGCACCAGCCCATCACGTCGCAGTCCCAGCAGCAAAGCCTCTGCGGTGGTGCGAGAACCAACAGCAGCATGATCCACGACGGCGGGGGCGGTGGTGCAAGCGGTGGGGGTGGTGTGGGTGTCGTGGTGCCCGTCGGCAATCGCAACGGAACCAGCAACGGCGGAGATCCCACGTTACAGGGCTACGAGGTGAGCTACCACGAAATTATTTTACTGATTTCCTATAAGCTAATTTATAAGCTCATTTTCTTAAAAAGATATATTAAAACAAATGCTATTATATTTTCATTTTAATAAAGAAATTCGTTGTAATATCAGCTTAAAATTATAATGAAAAAAAAAATTGTATTTAAAACTTGTTATAAAAAATTAGAGGCCTAAATATTGCTATAATTTTACGTCCATAATCATATTTTTTTAAAGCTTTTTTAAACATTTAATTTCTCTATCCAACTTAAACTTCTTGTTATAAAAATCCTTTTCTCTTATTTTTTCATTTTTTATCTTTAGTTTTGGCACCAGGACAAGGACAGCAGCCGCCTCGACTCGAGTTCGATTTTCGAGGACCTCGACCGCTACTGCTGGCAACAGCAGCCGGTCACAGCCAGCGCCAGTAATGGTGGATCCACCAGCACCAACCAGCCCAGTCCCACCTCGCCGCAGGGCCACCTGCAACAGCAGCAGCAGCAGCAACAACAGCAGCAGCAGCAGCAACACCAGCAACATCAGCAGCAGCAACACCAGCAGCTGCAGCAGCAACAGCAGCCAATTGCGAACAGCTCGTCGGCAGCTTCCAGTGGAGCGGGCAGCAGTAGCGATACGATCAGCAGCCTGGACACCACCGATGGCCAGATCTACACCCTGACAGTATTAAATGGCGGAGAGCCGTGGCTAAAACGCTCCGAGGCCGAACAGCTGCCCACTTCCCTCGATTTGGATAGCTTGCTGGGCAGTTTTCCGGGCTACATCAAATCGGAGTATCCCTACGACGACAGTGGTTTCAGCACGGATGGCAAGGATGTGATTGGCAATGGAACGGATGGTCTCAGCAGTATTTCCCAGGGCCAAAATCAGGGTCAGCAGACGCAACAGACGCTGCCGTCGCTGGTCACGGCCATCTCTTTGGCGGGTGGCAATGATTTGGGCCAACAGTTGGCCCAGTTTCAAAACAACAACAACGATTGGCACATGGCGGATCACAACACGGAAACGGATCAAAGTACAGCGGAATCTCTGCTGAGGAGTGCCCTCCAGGGCAAAGGATATGCCAAGGGTTTGCATATGCAAAATGGTTTAGCCATGCCAGTGGTTAAGGATGAGGACATGCGACGATTGCTGTTCACCGATGAAGCTGCTGCCTTGGGTTTTGCGGACTCCACTTTGAGTGCTGCCCAGATGTTCGATGAAGCCCAGGGCATCCATCTCAGTTCTCAGCAGCAACAACAGCAGCAGCAGCAACAACACAATGGCAATGCCAACATTCTGGTGGACGATATGTTCCTTTCCCTCGAGAATGCCTTTAGTGATGATTTCGAGAAGATCAAGCGCATAGCCAACGAAGTGCAGCAGTTTTGTAGTGCCGGCTCTGCAGGGACACCAACTCCCGGGGATTACTGCCCACCCAGTGATGTCCTGATGCAAATCTCTCCCAGTCCGGCGGTTACTTCAGCGGGACAATTGCAACCACCGCAGCCACTGAAACCGGAAGTTAGCACCTCCACTTCCCCGTCGACGGCAGTTGCAATCTCCACGGCCTCCAGATCCGGAGGTGGGGTGACCAAGCCCAAGAAGGCCTACAAGCGCAGCAGTAGCAACAACAACAATCCCAATGTGGCCAACAATAACAATCAGAGCAGCGGAAGCAATCCGCTGATGGGAGGCAGTGGGAGTGGCAGTTCCTCGTCGAGCGGCAGTGCCAGCAGCAGCAGCAACAGTCCGCCGGCCAATTCCGGCGGCAGTTCGTCCTCCTCCTCGGGAAGTGCACAGCGGAAGGAGCGATCGCTGCACTACTGCTCCATCTGCTCGAAGGGATTCAAGGACAAGTACTCGGTGAATGTGCACATACGCACCCACACCGGTGAGAAGCCCTTCGCCTGTTCGCTGTGTGGCAAGAGTTTCCGGCAGAAGGCGCACTTGGCCAAGCACTACCAGACGCACATGACCCAGAAGAACAACGGCAGCCTGATCAAAGGAGGATCGGGGAAGCATCCACGTTCCAGTGGATCATCTGCGAGTGCAGCAAGTGCAGCACTCAACCAACGACAACAGCAACAGCAGCAGCAGCAACAACAGCTCAGCGGAGGAGGAGTGGTGCCGAGTTCGCTGCCCGTGATGATCAGCAATCCCAATACGCCACCCGGAGGAGTCCTGCCACCTGCCAATGGACTGCTCGCCAATCGGTAGTAACCACAGGCAGCGGGTTCTCAAAACCCGTCTGAAACTATCTCTTGTTCCTTACTCACAAAATACACACACACACACACACAAAATGATGAAACTCAAAATGAAAATGTAGAGAAACTATTACTACTCGAAATACCTTAATACTCGTACTCCCAACTCGAATTTACGTCATTGATGAATTCCTATTTCAGCTTTCTGTGCAATTCCTATATGTATTTCAACACACAGACAGACAGACAGAAACACACACTCGAAGCACTTCCAAATACAATACTCAACTAAATGTACATTTACACAAACAAATTAAATTTAAATGTGCCAAATTTTGAAGATTTTAATAACTAAAGTTAAAATAAAATAAAATAATCATATATGCTAGGCTTGTAGAAATAGAAGTGTAACGAAGCTAATGAAGCAATTCCACGAGTGGTGATATCAAAATGAGGCCAAACGCTTCCTTGCTAAAACATCTTACTAAAGCCCCTAAAAATCGAATAAGATTTAGAAGATTAATCCTCGGTTCAGTTCGATTTTAATACTCCTATTCACCAGCAGTTCTTCAGAGTTTTTAGTTTTCAACTAGCCCAGCACGATGCGTGTTTCCTGTAAATTAAAAGTATTTGCTTTCATAGTTGCTCTGCCCAAATTAGCATAAATTTGTTTGCTAGTGTTAATGTATATATACGCATAAATAGTGTTAGATTCATTTATATATAAAATAAAGCCAACAAGGGGAATGCCAAATATTTGAGGGAGGAACACTGACCCGAGGCACTAAATTCGAATCGCGTCCTCCGGAGCTCATCCTACAGCCAATTCCCGCTCCTTTCTCCTTCAAGGATCTCTTTGATCTCTTGGGCCGAGTGTTAGCCAACTTCGAAGGCATTCAAGACGGGGGCACAAGCATTACTTTTATCAACTATGTACTTACGTTTACACACCAACGTTCAGCAACTCAACTTGCACTTGCCATTATTTTTGTATTTGATAAACACAAGGCGCATTACTACGGCGAATTCCCTATAATTAAAGATAACACCACATTCCCCCAACTAGTGTATTGTATTGTATAGGCTAAGCTATCGGATAAATCAGCCGTAGTTAGTGGTTAATTAAACTGCCAATTATTTTGTGATAGTTTTTAATGGACAATAGTTTAGATTACGCAAAAATATCTTCAATGGTGTTTGGGTTATGTAACGTTTTAACGATTTGTTATAAACTGTGTACACTTTGCAATACGAGTATTTTCTGCTAATTTATTGAACTTAATAGTTTATGTACATAGAGAACGATCCTTGTTTATATCCAAGCCTAGGCTAAGCCACACATCGAAATCTTAGTTAAATCTTTGTTAGTTATTATTTATGCACACACACGAAAACACCCCAAGCCCCACACACCAACACACACACACACATCCATCTGCGGTTAAGTTTTGCATTAATTTTTTTAGTATTGCAAGCATTAAAAATAAAGAAATCTAAAACGTTTTATTGACAATTAAGATGCGCCCCGTGTCCGCCGTTTGGGTCTGTCGTGGGTTAATTAGTTTTGGCTCGTTACGGAGATGGCAGATGGGTCTGGCCGAGGTCTGAAATAATTTTCTCCAATAAAGGAGCTGAGCGCACATGAAAGCGCATGCAGCTGCGCATGTCAACAACATCGGATTGCAACCGCAGCAGCGGCAACAGCAGGCGCAGCAGCCTTGCTGCAGCAGGCACATCAGCAGGCAGGCGGCACTTGTCAGTCAAAATCAAAGTACCCGGCCCCAGACTGCCGGCTTCGTTTGGCGGGGGGCTACGAATGCGTGCCATCAGCGCAGATTAGAGAAAATTTTTCACTCCACGATCGGTGAAACACGACTCACACACTGCGAGAAAATGGTAGGTATTTTTCAAATATTATTTGATCATTCTAGAAATTTAGAAAGGTAATTTTTTAATGTTTACATTAAATGAACACTCTTCCATGAAATATTTATTATGATATGCAAACATGGGACAAGAAAATCTAAGCATTTTTTAAAACAAATGTTTTAATCGATTTTCTAAAATGTGATCTTATCGGCGTTTCAAATCTGAAACCAAATAATTTTTCCATGTGTACCGCTGATGGTGATGCCTCCGCTGCTGGCCACGTCGTTTGAGATCGAAACATGTCGATTAGGGAATTTCAAGAGGCGCCAGTTGCCGTCGCACAGGTGGCTAACATCAGCGCGCCTTTGGGGGAACTCAAACACTGGGTATTTGGTGTTCAGTGTTCGGTGTTCGGTGTTCAGCTGCCACTGCGGCAAGCACGCGTCTTAATTGCTTTTGATGTTGAACTTTGAGCCGGCGAGCTGCTGTGCAAATATTTGCACAATGAAAATCGGGAACATCTGATCCCCAAATGGGTTAAGCGAAACGAAAGGAAAGTCATATTTGATGACCATACAAATAACCATAAAGCAGCTGCAACTGTGCAACTCCACTTACTATAATCATTAAAACTAAAGGCTCTCCTCGTTTGGGAGGAAAACCCTTCGCAAGTAACATAAATCGATTTACTTTTATTGGCTCAAGCTTTCATTTTACGGTCAAAAAGTCTATGTTCGCCTAACTTTTCTTTTGGTTTCGAAATAATAAACGTCGTGGGAAAATGGGTTGCCTTTTGAATCTATAGCTCAAAATTTCCTGTAGCCAAACTAGGGAGGAAAATACCACCATGAAGGCGAAACCATACCAAACGTACTGAAGGTCCTGGACTTGCATGGCCCTGAATTCTCGATGGGGACTCAAGTCCACGAAGTGCATTTCTCCCGCTTCAATGAGCTCCGTAAAACCCGTGGACATCCAGTGAAATGTTAGTCCTGTTTCCGCCAACTCCATTATTAACTTTTGCACGGGTTCCATGAAAACTGAGTTCTCGTGCAAAGGAAATCCAAAAGGTATGTTGTTGAAAAAGCAGAAATCGTCGCGTTTCTGAAAAAGTGGTCGAGAGAAGACCTTTTGCTGCTCGTTGATCAACACCCATCTGTTAGAGCTTATCATGTAGCCGTACCGAGAATCCATTGTATCGCGACGAGCCAGATATTGGTTAAAATCGGGTTCAACCAGGAACATTTTCTCGTACTTGCGAAACTCCAAAAGCCGGCCAACCAACTCGGCATATTCCGGCTTCCAGGCCACAACCTTCAATCTAGAGGCCAGAATATCATCATAACTTCTGAAAGCGGGTTGCTTTGGTGCAGTGGTTACATAGCTGGAGAAATATGAGTTGTACCAGGCAGTGATCAGGATACCTAAAACACAAATCTCTAGATAAATACCCCTTACGAGGGTTGGAGCTCTAAGAACTTCAACGAAGGATTGTCCAAGAACTCCTCTCAAGCAGCTGTCATGAAGTATATATTCACTATAGTTTGTCGCATAACCATGAAGCCTTAAGGTGCTGGTCAGCAAACATGATATAATAACCAGAATTCCCAGAGTTAACAAAAAGGCAGCCAGTTCAAAGACCCTCGTGTAATACTCAAAAGGTGGCACATCGGCCTCCACTGGCAGCATTACGCACCAGTTCAACTGTTCGTAAGGATAACTAAAACCATATGGCGGAATCGTTGGATAAGTCAGAGACATAGATATATCCACGGTTTCATTTCGCACTGCTGCCACTGTTTGCATAGAAGGTGCAAAGTCCAAAGGATTTTTTCCCACCAATGGTTGGACAAATCTTACATTGTACTTCTGCTGAAAAACATTCATAAAATGACCCACGGTTCCGTCGTAAACCACTTGACCCTTCTTGTTTCTGTAAGCAATCATACGAGGTGTAGTTCCTCCAATAATCACTGGCATCTCATAGCCATGCAAATTTCTCATGCGATCGGGAAAAATTGGTAGCGATTCTAGCCTGGGTTCGTAGATTCGCTCTTCTATTTGTAATATAGGAAAATGCGAGTAGCTGTAAAACGTTGAGGTTTCCTGGAAAATAAAAAACATCATTTTTATGAAGAAGCTGTTATTTTAAATACGAACCTCGAAATCTTCAAAGAGAACGATCACATTCAACAGCTTTTTTCGCCAGCAATACTTGAATAAATTATAAAGCATTTCTGTTGAAGCTTCCGATTGTATTAGAAAAATCACCCTAGAAGTGGTCATGTGCCTAAGATTCAACACCAGGGCTTTTAGAAGACCAATGTGGTTATCCAAATTCGTGTCATTAACAAACACAATCGAAACCAGTCGCCTGTTCATACTATTGTGCAAAAAGTAGCTCACATTCTCGTTCAACCGAAGAACAGGCACTTCAAATGTTTCCATAATATCCTTTGACAACGAACTGCCATTCCAAACCTGATCCGGCAGACTGAAGTTCCTGTTCTTCATGAGCAGCACGTACTCAAAGTCGGACTCCAGCTTTATCCTGTCCAGTAATTCAATTACCGTTGCGCCACCAACCAGGGTAATCAGGCAAAGCCCACTCAGGAACCACATTGGGCCATTCATCACGATGGCCGAGGGACAACTGCATGACACTGATTGATGCCGCTGCACATTTAAAGGGTTGCTAATGAATCCGCCGACGACATCGCTAATGGCTAATTCCAATTAGCAGCCCGCGTTAACAAGTCGCTGGAGAAAAAAGACAACCAAAAAACAATTCCCATGGGATTACACAAAAACAGCTCATATTACGCGAATCAGACAAAGTTTGGTTGGGAAATTAACAATAACTTTTTTCTTCCTTTGGCAATTAAGGAAAGAACATAAGGGTATCTTTATAACACCTCGTTGCTGTACGAATAAAAAGACTTCAATTAGCGAGAGTGCCAAATGCATTTATTAAGTGCCTTTATTATTGAATAAAATTTTAATAAACATACATATTGAATTTGAATCTTTAACTGAATTACAGTTCAGCTGTTCGCCTAAATACACTTTTAATTTTTTGTATTATCTTTAGGCGATAAAACCTTATACACTCCAATAGAAAAACAAAGGTGGCCAGACTTAGCAGAACTCCAACCATTATCCAAATCTTTTCCAAGTCCTCTACTTTCATGGGTCGAAATTCATGTGGAGGACTCAGATCCCTGAGCTCCAATTTTCCGGCCCTAATCAAATCCGTAAAGACCATGTCGCGCCAATGATTAAAAAGGCCCATTGCAGTCAAATCGATAATAAGACGATTCAGGGGTTCCTTAAATATCGAGTTTTCCATGATGGCAAACACAATGGGCACCGTGTGATATACGCAGAGATCCTCTTTCAGATTAAACAATGGAGAACTAAAGACCTTCTGTTGCTGGTTTACAAGTGACCACTTCTCAAGTGGCATCATGTAGCCATATCTTGGATCGAACGAGTCCCGTAATTCCAGAAACTTTGTGTAATTGGGCTCCAAACGATAAATGGACTTGTATGTCTCCATGTTTTTGGAAGTTTCAAGAAGCATTTCGTATTCTGGTGTCCATATAACAACCTTGACATTCGAGTGCTTGATGGTCTCATAACTAGTAAATGGGGGAAATTTCGGTGCACTGGTCATATAAGTGGAGAAGACTGAGTTGTACGCGGCGGTAATCAGCACTCCAAACACGCAAATCCCCAGGTAAATACCTTTCACCAAGAACGGTGAGTGGAAAACCTCGTAGAAGGGTTGGGACATCACTCCTCTTAAGCAGCTGTCGTGAAGAATATACTCACTGAAATCCACTCGATATCCATGCAGACGAAGAGCAAAAGATAATATTAATGAGGTAAGTACCATCACAAGCAGAGTGATTAAAAATGCCGAAGGACTAAACACCATGCTGTACAACTGACTGTGTGGCACCTCCTGTGGCACCGGCATCATGAGGCACCAGCTCATCAACTCGATGGGGTAAGTAAATCTAGAAAACGGAGGTTTAGGATAGTATGCCGCCAGAGCGAATTCCACACTGCCGTTTCGCACGGCTCCTTCATATTGCTGAGCAGGAAAAATAAAAGACTCATTCAAAAAGTACTGCTGAACCAGTCGGCAATTAAAGCGCTGTTCAATGCAATACTTTAAATTGCCCACCGGTCCTGAAATTTTCAGCTTGCCATCCTTCCCACGATAGACAATCAAACGGGGCGCAGATCCTCCAATAGCCACTGGTAACTCATAGCCATGAAGGTTTTCTAAACGTGGCTCGAATATCTTCGTACTATTTTCGAAAGGCCTTTCAATAAACTGCAAGATTGGAAAGGGTGTGTAGCTGTAGACAATCATAGACTCCTGAAAATATATTACAAAATCCACAGGGCGTCTGATTAAATTTTCACATTCACAAAATATATTAATCCAACACATTATATCATAAATTATAACGTTGTCATGTATTTTCTTGTACCCTTTTACTTACTGATTTACCTAAAATGCATTGGGACTTATGAAACACGCCGTCAAGGTAAGTTGTAACAAAATGTTTAGCAAACCTTTACAAAAATAATCTAATTAATAGAAAAGTGCATGTTTCTGGCCAATCCTGGTCCTTGCAACGGACATTTTAGAATGTTTGCCTATGATTTTACAAACAATGGCTGTGTAATGTTTATTTACGGTGGTTGTGGTGGAAACCCAAATCGTTTTCAAACAAAAGAAGAATGCAGAATAGCTTGTAATGCTCCCGCAGATCCTGAAGATGATGTTATTACCTCCACGGAAAAATATGAATTTACATTAGAGCAGAAGGAACTACATAATAACCCAACTGAACCCTCTGTAACCCCACCACCAATAAGTGAAGAAGTCACCACGAAAAAGGAAGAACAATTAGTAACTTTAAAAGAATCAATGGAAGCCTTTACCCTCTTTAATTTTGAGCTGTTTGGGTAATAATAAAATCTCACCTCGAAGTCATATCCAATAGCCACGACATTGAGTAATTGGTGATTCCAACACCACTCCAGCAATGGTTTTACTTTTATCGACTTTTCCTTTAGAACCAGAAGAATCGGCGTTGTATTCAACTTTCGCAGATAAGAGTGCATTAGTTTTAGTGTTTCTTCTGAGGATTGATATATGAAAGCAATGGTAAGGATATTGTGGGAATGATTATCGCCCAATTCTTCGCTATTTTCGGTCATCTCCCTAATCTGAACGATGGGAACTGGTAGTTGCAATAAGATCTCCTGCCAAATGGGATCCGAGTTGCCCAGCAAAAGAACGTAGTCAAATTCAAGATCACTTCTCAGATTATGAATTAAGTTGCGGAGAGAAGAATCTCTACCAGGATTGAAGAGAGCCAAGGTGGCTAGCAGAATAGGCAACTGACCCATGCCGACTTTTGAAAATTTGTTTCGGTTTCAGCCTTTATGTTGGTTCTGCTGTTGTCATTATCTGCCCCCATGGGTAATATTTAAATTCATTTCACTCAGCTCGTTAGGTTTTAATCACATGCTAACATCAACAAGCACCACATAAAAAATTTGACAAATTGAGTTTAGTAGATGTATTGCTGTCCTTTTTATATTCACAGAAGTACCTATATAAGCCAACCATCACTTAATTGAAATATTTAAGCGCAATTCGTTTAAGAATCGCTAAGAGGATTGCCACATTGGGATCTGATAAAAATTGACCGATTTGTGGCTACTGGAAGTGCTGATTTGGGTCTCCTACTGCAATTCATGGAAAATTAAGAAAAATCTGACATGAACAGGGGTCAAAAATTGGACCATCACCGATTTCAAAAATTCCAACAGGAATCGTTCAGGTGTTCCATCACAAATGTTAAGAGGTATGCTACTTTAAGATCTGATAAAAATTGACCGAGTTATGGCTACTGGAAGTGCTGATTTGGGTCTCCTACTGCAATTCATAGAAAATTAAGAAAAATCTGACATGAACAGGGGTCAAAAATTGGACCATCACCGATTTGAAAAATTCCAATGGGAATCGTTCAGGAATTCCATCTCAAATGTTAAGAGGTATGCCACTTGAAGATCGGATAAAAATTGTCAGAGTTATGGCTACTGGAAGTCCCGATTTGAGGGTACTATTGCAAATTATGGATAACTAGAAAAAATCTGATATGAGCAGGGGCCAAAAATTGGTCCATCACTGATTTGAAAAATCTTAACGCAGTTCTTTCAGGAATTCCATCACAAATGTTTAGAGGTATTCCACTTTGGGTTCGGATAAAAATTGTCGTGGAAGTGCTTATTTGGGTCTCCCTTTGCAATGAATGGAAAATTAAAAAAATTGACATGATTAGGATTTTCTCGTAAATCTTTGGACAGTTTTACATGGACAGAGATACAAAAATAGATTATTATTAGCTTGTGTAGCTTGCTAAATTATGTTTAAAATATCAGCTGTTCAGCTTTAAAAAGTTTATAAAGTTTTAATTTCAAGAAACAAGAAACAATAGCAAGGCTAAAGCGAGGCAAAAATCTCATTCATAAGCGATCCGCCTGACAGATGATCTCTCTTAACGATGCTGCCAACAACAGCATCCACAGTGCTCATTATATTTTTCAAGCTTTTATATGTTTTGGTGCACTTCACTGGATTTGGCTGATGCGTCAGCACTTGACCCGCACTCAGACCGAGTCGCATGCTCCCCGGACCCCAAGTCCTCCAATTCCCAGTCGTAGACGACTCAGCCCCATGCTGTTGTCCGCCAAATTGAGTTGACGTTGACGTAATGCCCCGCCACTTGAGTAAGTCTCACTCACTCGCTCTTTTTTGGCTTTTGTCATTTCTGGTTGCTGCTTCTGCTTTTTTGGTATTTTTTTGATGAAGTGCATCATCGTATGGGGCTGGTCAATTAGCTGCACATACCGCGTATCTCGCACAAAAAGAGTGGCAGCGTGGAAAGCTCAACATGGCAGGGCTGGTTTTCTGATTTTTTTGTCATCAGTTTTTATCTTCGGTTTTGTTTTTTGCCGCCGGAGGTCACGTAGAGTATTTAATTGGCTGGCCTGGGTTGCGTATGCGATGTCAATTTAGCGAGAAGAGCCCCAAAGTTCATAAGTGCCCTGGCGCATTCTTATATAGCAATCTTTTGCAATGCAGAAACTTCACTTAACCCACTTGCAGAACATGGCAATCGTATGTGGTTATTTTTAAAATGTGCTTACTCAAATGGGGTTTTTGAACATCAGTCAGAATAAAGTTTAACGTTTTATTTGAAATATATGAAAACTCAAAGCTTTGTGCCTAACTTTCCTTTAATTGCTTTTGCCAAAAGAAAATGTTTTTATGATTAGTAGCTATCGTTAAGGCGATAACTCATTTGCATAGTGAGTCGACCCACTTTCCGGCGCAGTTTGCCTGGAGTGTCCTTACTCCTGGCACCGGCAGCCTGGTAATTGTTTCTGAGCTCTGCCACTTCCTAGCCAGCTCAGGCAGAGATCATGGCCCCGTTCCATTCGAACAGAGGCTGAGACACTGCCCCAGGAAAGTAACTCATATTCGGGTATGTGGCTGAAGTGCACAACTGGAACCGTAATGCAAGTGATCGTACCTACATCCGACTTTTGTTGTCCAGTTCGGTTGTTCGGTTGTTCGGTTATTGTTGCTGGCCACGAGACATGCACGAGCCAACTGTAACTGCAAACCGAATGCCCCCAACTCCCCCGTTAACCAAAAGCAAAAACGTTACCAAAACGGTAGCCTTTTTGGGGGACGGCTCCCGACATAACCACCAGTACAGATTCAGTGCGGCTCTGGTCTTCGGTCTTCGGTCTTCGGCCGCATTGAAAAGCGAAAGATGGCCAAATGGAAATGGTGAAAATGGCAAAAGGCCAAAAGCGGACTGACAAAATATTTTCGCATATGATAAATGGCACAGTTTAAAGTAAGTCGAGCACTTGCAATTGTCCACCACGTTCCGGGGCACAATGTAAATTTTCCACCGCTGACCATTTGCGCGAGTTTTCCGGAGCTGCGGCTAATGGTGCCACACTAAACATTGCCAGAGCCATAATCTTGGCATTTTTCGCTAGGTCGCCGCTGCCCGAGTGCCTGATTTATGAAAGGGCCTCATAATTTAGCACAAATATGGTCATAACTTTTTGGCTTTTACTTTTTTTGGGGCCAAGCGAGCTGCTAATGAAGCGGCATCGCCAGCCGCCGCCAGAAACCGAAAACCGAAGTCCGAAGACAAAAAAAAATCGCAACCAAAGCGAAACAAAAGCAGCCAGAAAACTCCCAGTCAGAAACTCATTTAAGTGGATGGCCAGCCGATGGCCACTTGTTGCCATCGTTTCCTAGCAATCAGCGGCGAACGTGTCACTCCTAACTGGCCAGGAACAAGCCAAGTTGGGGTGCACTGGAAAAAAAAAAAATTTAATTATCCAATGCCTGGAAGTTTATAAAAAAAATACTACCAAAAAAATGGAGTTCAAAATGAAGTAATAGAACCTATCTAAATAGAATACTGTTTTAAGCTAAATTCTCTTGAACTTAAGACAATTTTTAAAACATACCGTTTATTAGAAGTTTCAAAATAATAAACTCCGTTTTGGTATTTCCCACGATTTATAAAAAGTATTGTCCAAATTTACCTTTTTTAAATATTCGTTAGCTTATAGAGTCTCAGTGATCTCGGTGACCTCCCCGATCTTTTGATCGAAAATTAAAGACACATATTTCCCGTATGAATTGTATGATAATCAAACTTTCCATTTATTATCCTGCAGTGTAGACCGGAGCAAACCATGCCGGACCGTGCCTATAATCATCATCAACATTACCAGCCGCTTGCAATGTGAAGCAATCACGTCCTGGACCCAACTGGACCGAACTCAGCCTGGCCAGCGGCCCCTGCTCCGGACTACTACTACCACTTCTACTACTCCAGCCATGCTTCAATAAATGTCACTCCTCAAGCTTTGCATCTAAAAATTGATGACAATAATTTGTTGCATTTGCCCGAGGGGGTGTGGCCAGCTCCGATCGCCAGTTGCGGCTCAGCTCAGTCCGCAATTGCCACGGACAGACGGAGTTGCCTCTAAGCTGAGCGGAGCTGATCTGCTCCTGCTCCCACTGTTGTTGTTGCTGCTGCTGCTGCTGCTGCTGCTGTTTTCAACACAATTTATACAAAGTGTCGCAGTTTTTGGCGCTTTGCATTTGTTGCTGACAGACTGCCCACCTGCCCGCCCCGCGGAAAGCGGCAACGGTTTGCACTTTGCCGATGCAAAAAAGTAACATAAATTTCGTCATTTTGTCACAAGTCGTTTGTATGCGATACCAATGCACCAAGAAAAATAGAACATACAATTTTATATTTACAAAACAATTAATTAATCAAGGCAAAAGGAAAACCATCACACTAAAAAAAGAAAATGTAACAAAATTTGTATTTAAATCGTTTCTAGGTAAGTTTAAAAAGAGTAACAAAGCCACAATACTTTTAACTACCTTAATTTAAAATATATTACAATTAATTGTTGTAATATTGTACTAACAAATAAAATTGGTATTCCAGTCTCTAATCAACTTAATCGTTTTTGAGGAGTGTAGCTAAGCACCAGGGTTAGCGGTCTGCTATTGGGCTGGGCTAAATCCGGGGACTGCTGATTGCAAAGCGATTTGCCGAATTGTTTTCCCCCACAGTTCCATAAAAATCAACACACTCCTTTGGAGCCCGTTCGCTGTTCGCTTTGATTTGATTTCGATAGCGCATTTTTCAATTTGATAAATTTATTGAGTCGCGGCGGGTTAACAAATCGCCAGCGATGCCTGCCGAGGATAAGAAGGAAGCTGGGGGAAACCCAATACACGAGTAATAACCGAAAAGCATATCTACCTCCTCCTCATCCTGGATGGCACCACATGTTGTACCAGGTATATTCGTATATGGCCATGGCAATCGCCTTGTAAATGGCATCAATTGCGACCTTTTGGCATTCTTACGGAAACATTTCGCTAATGAAACCGATACCTCAAGTGTCAAGACACGATCCGGTTCGAGTTGCCATAGGTTTGGCCTGCGGTCAGTGGCTTCTGGCCAGTGGCAGTGGCTGTAGCATTTACCACACTCCGGCCAACTTATGGCAGCCATAAAAATGTTAAGCACAAATCATTTGCCACATTGGCACCTTTTGGCCGAAAGCAGAAGAAATGGAGCACGCACGTGGCAGTGCCCCGGGGCGAAATTGGATGCCATACTCGATTCGAGGATCCAGGACGCCTCCATTTGGGGTCGCAGCTGCAGTTCGGTTATGCGGAAGCTGCATCCAATCATAATTTGAAGACTTTTTTTTGGCCACCTCGAGTTATGATGACTTTCAAGAGCAATCCCGCGTGGCGGTTAAACGTGAAATGAGAT